GATGATAGGCTGATCATCATCATCAATGTGTTATCAAATGTCCTAATTTGTTGGTGGAATTGAGATTCAGGAAAATACAGGAAATAAATAAATAAAATTTGAATGTGGGGTAATACCTATTTTTGAATATTAGGTAATCAACATTGTGGTTTTATTGCTATTTTTATTGAGCAATTCGTTCTGCACCAAATTTGCATTAAAATCGTTTCAATAAATATTTAGTAGTCGTGCCTTTGCATGTACTTAAACAAAAATATACGTATGAATTTCAAGATTTATGGGAAACAAATTAAAATTGGAAACATTAAAACTTATCCAAACCCACAGTGTAACGAATTAGTGATTAGCCACGGTCACGGTTTCCTTTAACAATATTCATCAACCTATTTTCGAATATTAGCTTTGTTTTATTGCTAGTTTTATTGAGCTATTCGTTCTGCACCATTTTTGCATTATAAAATCGTTAAGAAATAATCGAAAATAACTATTTTGCAGTCGTGCTTTTGCATGAGTTCAAACAAAAATAAACGGCTTAATGCGTAATACCTCCTACATTTCTCACTTGATTTCACGCTCAAGAAACATTATGGGCGCATCGAATTTGTTGTTTGTAGAATAATAATTTTATTACCTACTATTTTTGTCGTTTGGCTAGTTATTGCAAAATAACATATTCCTGCAGGCTTTATAGAATACTTACCTACCTATTCCATTATTTTTACCAAATTCTTCTTAGAGGCTAGGTACACAATAACCCACTATCGAATTTAAATATTAAAGCTATACAGCCGCACAGTTGATATAGGAGCTACAAAATTTGAAATGATTATAATTCGACATCATCATTGATTATTAAATCAGATTTAATCGAGACTACATGCAGAGAGCAGCTCATAGCGTGTCTGTGTCAAATACTTCAACTTTTGTCATAATTTAGGTCCTACAATAAACATATCGGGGGTATATGTTTGATCCTTTTAATTTGTAAATGAGATTGCTAATTTTAGAGTTATGCACGTTTGGGACATATTTTATAGGCGAGGGTGTGAAATATTCATTTTGTGATAGATATTTGATGAGGCAATTATTAATGTATGATCAATTCATAAACAGTGACGTGTTTACGGGGGCGATAAGGGGCATTATATCGCCTCATAGTTTTTGGGTTTTTTTAAGAAAAAAATCTTTCCCGGAATTTTCCTCCAATATTTGTGTATTCATAATTTTTTTTTTCTGTTTTCGTGAGGATGAAAACAAAAACTGAAGAGCTGTTTCTTTAGTTCTTAAAAATCGGTTGTTGAATTTTTTTTAAAGGTCCCCGCACACTTCTTATTGGATTTGGGTTGAACGCGGAATTTAACCAAATTTTGGTATGTTGTATATGTATTTTAACCTCCTGAGTAAAAGTTCTCACGGGCACAATCCGATCCTATGACTTGTTTCGGATATACGGGGGGTGTTCTAATATTACCTTAGGCAACCTAAGTACCTATATGACGAGTACATAAAGCAAAAAAACGTGCATTTATTGCTTCAAAAGTTGTTTATCTACAAGCGTTTGGTCATGACGTTTTTACATAACCATTTTTCTAGTATTTGAGTTATGTCATGAGACTCATAACACAACTAGTGGTATTATGGACTAGGTTATGAATTCATAACATAACTAGTGGTGTTATGGACTAGGTTATGAATCTATAACACAGCTATTTCTGGTGGTTTGACAAATGTCATAGGTAAACCTGTAAAGGTCAAATCAAGGTAGACAACTACTAATGGACGAAAATTGAAAAAAAAAATTCTTATTTTTCGCTTTGTAGATAAAACGTTGTACATCACACGTGCGTTTAAACATGACTACAAAACTTATGTGATTAGAACGACTCGGTCTACGACCTCGTCGTTCTAATTTCTTCTTTCACACTCCTTATTGTAATCATGTTCCCCCATATATCCGAAACTAGTCATAGGATCGGTTTGTACCCCTGAGAACTTTTACTTAGGAGGTCGAAATGTACAACCGAGTGTACAACATACCAAAATTTGTTTCAATTCCGCGTTCAACCAAAATCCCATAAGATGTGTGCGGGGTCCTTTCCTATTCCTGTCTTGAATTTCTTGTATCCCAGAATATTAATTTTTTTAAAATTTTTATTCCTGTTTTTATCGCATTGCTTTTGTATTAGTAATATGTATTATTATTTCAGACCAAATCTCATGTATCTTTTGCTTAGGAAGGCAACAAAATTCCAAGAGCCTGGAATACTTAGACAAAAGTTGAAAAAAAAAAATGAAGAGCCAAAACTTGCAAAAAAAAAACCTTTTTTATTGGAAATTATTCCGGGCTCTTGAATCTTTCTTATTTCTTCATTCCTGGCACTTGAATTTTTTATCTCTGCATACCAGGCTTTTGACAGGGCTGGCATACACAAAAACCCACCATCAATATCGTCAAAAACCTAGTGGGCTTTGGGCTTTCAGTGTCAGAAACCCACTCATACAGAAATAATGAATAACCATGAACAGCCTTAAACAACTTGGAAAGATTTTTCGAGAAAATAATAAACAAAATGAAAATCCTAAGAGAAAATAGTCAACTAACATTAATCAAACAAATTCTTAGATACAAAAGTGAAAATCAAAACAAACTTTTTTCAAGATAACTACTAAGAGTAACGTAAAAAAGAATTTCTACTCTAAATAAATAATTAAAACTTCGAAACTAAGTACTTAAATTGAAATATTAATTAACAGGTTTGAAGAAAATTTAATTAAAATTAATTAGAGCTTATTTACATTGAAATTGGCTGAAAATTAACGGAGCTGTGAAACCACCAAAACTGTCTCAGTGTCATTTTGAAGCATGTCAGGTGCAAAATTGTTGAAACAAAATTCTAATCTTTTAATTAATAGGATTATTGAGAATTTAATTGGCTTCAATTTTAGTTTGATTATGTTGAGATCGGATGAAAATTAACGGAGCTTTGAGGCAAAAACTGTCTCAGTGTTATTTTTGGAAAATTTTCAATGTTCGATAATTTCAATTTTGGAATTTCTCAGGTGCAAAATTGTTCAAACTAAATTAAAATCTTTCAATTAAAAGGTTTGTGGAGAATTTAATTGGCTTTGATTTGAGTTTGATTACGTGGAATTCGGATAAAAATTATCGGACCTGTGAGACAAAAACTGTGTCAGTGTAATTTTTGGGAAATTTCTAATAGTCGATAACTTCAACTTTGAAGCTTCTCAGCTGCAAAACCGTTGGAGCGAAATTAGAATCTGAATGGACAGATTTGTAGAGAATTCGATTGGCTTCAATTAGAGCCTGATTGGGTTGAAATTAGAGGAAAATTAAAGGAGCTGCGAGGCAAAAACTGTCTCAGTGTCATTTTTGGAAAATTTTTAATGTTCGATAATTTCAATTTTGAAGCTTTTCAGGTGCAAAACAATTTTGTCTTGTTAACAAAAACACAAAAACTATCACTATAACCCGCAAAAACCCAAAAACCTAATAGAAATGTTCAATAAACCGGGTTTTTGCCAACCCTGCTTTTGCTTTTTTTATTTAATACTTTCTATGTATACAGCATTTTCAATTAATCTAGTGGATTATAAGAAGATGTACACAATCCGATAGAATTTGGGCAAATTTCCTATCAAGTTTACCTAAAAATAGTGAGTCAGTCGATCTACAAAATGCAAATTTGTACCTAAATAAAATGGTTTGAGGATGTTTTTTTGAGGTCTTGAACATATTTATCACATTTGAAAAACATTTGTAAGTGGTTATTGAATCATCCAAAGAAAGTCTCGGAAATACCTTTCCAAAACATATACTAACGACATTAAAAAATGTTCTAAGTATATCCTAGAAGTGAAATGAAATGCTGTTTTTGGAATAAAAATCGGGATAAAAATTTATGTTAAGTATAGAAAATGTTCATGATCTTCTTGTTTCCTCAATATAATTTGATTATCGTACAGTAATTGCATAAACATTCCAGGTAGGCGTTGCAAGAATAGGAACCTTATTTTCTAAAAGGGAAGGTTTTAACTTTTATGCTCAGAGTTCATTTCTGAATTGAACTCATGCATTCTCATTCTGTCTACTCTTTTAAAAAGCTTAGGTGCGCAAAAAATAGGTTGCTCTAGATTTTATGAAGCTCTCTCCAGTAATCTCAAAGGTGAATAAAATTTTTGTCAGCAACACAACTGCTTTGAAATAGTGAAAACAATGTTTTAATTGATTTATACTGATGGAACTTTTTAATGGAAATGTCCATAAATGCAAGATATTATCCCAATAAACAAAAATCGAGTGGCCTAAGGTCCGGCGACCTCATTAGTCACCCAAGTCACGCAACTAGCCCATTATTTGAAATTATATTTGCCCTAAAATGTTCCGATCGGAATACTCTAAATTTTTCGACATGCGAAAAGAAGAGAAAGAACTCTAGCGACTTCAGCCTCCAGGCCCAGACAATTTTACAGAAACTTTTAATGGCTTTCCTGCTATACATTTTCTGAAGGATAGGACCTCAACTTTTGGGAAATAAACAAATTAGCAAATATGCCGATGCCATGTCTTGAAATTGAGATGATGGCGTATTACTTTTTAACTTTTTAATAGTATTAAGTAAAAAAAATATTATAACTTTTCTTGAATAATTTATAGGTATTTAAGCAGTTCGAAACGCCCCATAATTTAGGATAACAATCTAGATAAAATAAGGGGTTCAAAATAAATATATCAATTATTGGGTGGAGATAAATAGCACTTAGGAATCGAGTCCCAATCAAATATTAAGCTAGAATTTTCCATTGTAGATTGAGTAAATGTTATCTATTATAATATCGCCTGAACATCAAATACTGATGATAGCGGAAAGGTAACCTAATGATCTATTTATCGCATAAAAATAAAATCTTCCCATGCCAAATATCTATACAATAATATGGGGCCACAACATTAGGTGTAGTTTTATTTTTCAAAAGCTTACCTTTTGTTGCCGCAGTAACTCTATCCAAATTGTACAGTGTTACCGGAACAGGACCAATTACCAAATACATTTCCGCGTCTTTTGAATTTTTCAATTTCCGTCCAATAAAAATTGCAGTAAATTTCGGTCTAATGGGCTGTCGACACTTCACACCTTCACCTTCGTTCAACGTCTTCACAACTCGCACTTCTTTAGTCTTGGCATATTTCAAAGAGTTTTTAAAATACCTTCTCACTGTCACACTAAAAATTATAGTGTCATCCCTATAATAAATGTCACCGTCGGTCACCTTTCCCGTGAAAACAAAATCCGATTTCAAAATTTCTTTTTCGAATTTGTCATTGTTTTTCAGTATGTGCTCATCAAATTTGCACCTCGGCAAGTAGATCTGCCTGTCAAAAAATGGGCGCGAATTATTTTGGGCATAGGCGCCAAACACGAAAATCAAAAAAAATACCGCAGCATTAGGTCGGCACATATTGGCGGCTCACACGTGGGTGTCGTTTCAAGTCTATCGCGGTGAAAGAAGTAACCGCGTGGAATAACACCGTTTGACTGTTCGGGTCTAGTGTTGAAGTCCTTACCGCAGCTCCTCCTGTGGTAAAGCATCTTGGAAATTTCTTTAGCACTCGGATCTCATTGGCCGCTATGACCACTGCCCACACACACTGATTTGAAGGCGCAATTAAATAGGATATACTCATTATTTTAATTTTAAACGATACTATATCTTTGCATATATGCATTTTACTCAGATACGTTTCTATTGTTTTTTTTTTCTTCTTGCTTGTGGCGTCAGGTTAGGTGACAAGTTAATTGGATTTTTGTATAAAAAAATTATTTATTTTTTTCTGTCATAATTTCTTGAGATATTTTAATTGGATTTCTTTGGCTAGTTTTGTGGTGCTATAACCTAGATTTCTTTCATCATTCTGCATAAATCATCTATGCTTCTTTCACTATTCATTAGGTTAGGTATCTTTTTTAATAATTTTTATTTTTTGACTCCCTGAATATTACTCTTTTACTAAGCACAACAAAGCCTCACACGAAATAGTCTCTTATTAATTATTACGCTAAAGCAAATTTAATTGCGAGTGATACACTATACCCTGCCAACAGAAGATATAATTAAATTGAAAGCTTTCCTAATAACACACAAGTTTGCAAATTTATTATATCTTAGCTATAAAGCTTTCCACGTTCCCTTAGGTAGCTTGTAAATGGGGAAATCAGAATGAATACGCCCTAATAGCACAGAAACGTTTGAAAAACGTCTTGAAAACTTTAGGAAAAGACGTCTTTTAAAACGTCCACTGGAGGTCCTTTAGCGTATCCGAAAACGCCCAATGAACTTTTTTCTTCAGTGCAAATATCATTTCAAACGTTATATACCTAGACATCAAAAACGGACGTTTTAAAAAAAGACGTGTTTAAAAGTGGACGTCCTATAAGAACCTCCACTAGCCGTCCTTTAAAGTATCAAAGAACGTCCAATAGACTTTTTTATAGTGCAAATGTCACAGTTACAAACAACATGTAGGTATGTAGACGTGGAAAATGGATGTTTTGAAAACGTCTTAAGTCGAACTGATTTCCGGACGTCCATTATTATATCCATATTTTTTTGAAATAGGTACATGTTTTTAATGTAGGTATGGACATGGAAAAACGTTTTTGAAAAGTTTTCAATAGGTAATGGTTTTGGAAATGATTTGTAAAACGCCCCCTTTTATGAATTTTTATAGAAACGTGGCTATAAAAACAAACCAAATCAAACGTCTAAGAAACGTAATGTCCTTTTAAAAGCTTTAAAAAAAACACTGGACATGGACACTAAGAAAACGTTAATAAAAACAGAATGTTACATAAGATTGCTGAAAGAAATCAGTTCTATAAATAAGCATTCCATTGATACTGAACATCAACCTAATTACACTAACATTAAAATATCACAAACAGAAAAAAATTACAGAAGATTATTTTTGGAAATGGCAGAAATACAAAAACAAAAAAATTCCATAAATTCAAGAACAGAAATAAATAATTTGAGTATTATTTATTCATAATTATTATCTCTAGACCATAATTGAAAATAATTAACACCGGTTTTTTACCGGCTTCAATCTTCAATTATTTATCATCGCTCCAAATGTGGAAACAGTATTCAATACATCTTCTGATTTGAGCGTTATAATAAAGAAGAAGTTGTTTAGAAGTGAAGAAGTTTTCTGTACGAAACAGAAAACCTAATTTTTGAAAAGCGGTTATGGCGATCGAAGATACGCGGTCATGCCAGGAAAAGTTGCGGTCACCCCAAGAAGACATACTAAAAGATTGATCGAAAGGTTTTGTCTGGACATCCTTGAAAATGGGTTATTATCAGTGGAAGATTTTTGAGAATATTGTTGCTTGAGTTTTGGAAGCATTGAATTTGACTAGGTTGTTAAGGCCTCAGCTGGGTCAAGATCACTGTTGATAGAGTGAATCTGTTCTCGGGCGAGACGTGTGGAAGTGGTTGCAGTAAGCGGTTTGTCAGAAGAGGAAGATGCTATCAAGCTACTATCGTCCGCAAAGCTGTATATGGGTTTTCTTGTCAGATTCAAAAAATCATTTATAAAAATGAGAAACAGTGTTGGGGACAGGATTGAGCATTTATAGGCAGTATATCAGAAGACACCCTATCGACCACAACATACAGTGATCTACCTTCCAAGAAGCTCCCCGACCAATGGCAAAATTTGTTCGGAAGATCATTCGATGGAATTTTGCTTGATGAAGTGTTTTCATTCGGGGTTATGGCCGTCGTAAGTTGGAATTTCTTCCTAACGTTTCGCTAGTACGCGTGGTTAGCATCTTCAGAGGTACTTCCATGTCCGATTTTGGTATCAGACGGACGGGTTCTCGACCGTAGGTTGTATTTATGTGAGTGGCTGTGGACTGTGGTAGGGAAGAGGCGGTGCTTCGCAGCACGTGGCTAGTCTGAAATTTCTCTGTACTCAATTGGATCTTTCTTGTGTTTTTGGAGATCCGGTTCCAGATTTGGTTAAGTTTCAGTGTTTCTTTTTTCCTGTTGAAGTTCTCCCTATGTTTGTGGATTTCTATAGCTCCACGTACAAGACGCTTGTGGTATTCGGAAGTCGGTGCAAGAAGCTTGACCTCTCCAAAGACTATTTCGTGATTCCCTTCACTAAGCGCGTATTTCGCGATTGCCGATTTTCCCAATTCTTCTAGTCTGCAGTTTCTTTTGTGTTCGTTGATCCTGGTTCTCATGGAGCTTTTTGTTGTTCCTATATGTATACCTTACTTGGTATACGATAGACTCCAGCGCTTTACAGTGGGTTCCTCTCATTCTTGGCTGATCTGATTGATTGCTCTATTATTTTTATGTTGTGTTTCTTCAAGACTTTCACTATCCTGTCTGTCACCCGAGAAATGGAAGGCAGATATGCATTAGCCCCAACTGGTTGTTCATCCACGTTTCGTCGTGTTGCAGATTTGGTTCGCATGGCCCTGTCGATTTCAGATGCATTGTATCCATTTGATAGAAAGGCTGACTTGAGGTGATCCAGTTCTTGCTCGAGATGTTGTGGGTAGCAGATGTTCCGAGTTGAAGTTGGTATAATTCCACGTTTTTGTCTTGAATGGTGGTTTGAGAGTGCATGCAGGTACCTGTCTGTATGTGTAGGTTTTCGGTACACTGTGTGGCTCAGTTTTCCTCCAGATTTCTTTATGAGCACATCTAAGAAGGCGATATCGTGGTTCTTCTCCTTTTCCATCGTGAATTGTATGCTAAGGTGTTCAGGTGGCCTAGGAACTGGTTACGCTTGTCTTCTCCATGACTTCAAGCCACAAAGGTATCACCAACGTATCGAAACCATACCGTTGGTTCGTGGTCGAAAGATTCGATAGCTTTCCTCTCGAAATCCTCCATAAAGAAGTGGGCTATGACCGGGCTAAGCGGACTCCCCATCGCTACACCGTCCGTTCGCTCGTAGAAATCGCCGTTCCACAGGAAGTCGCTACCAGTGAGACATGTCCGGAAAAGCTCAACTATGTCATTGGAGAAGGTACTTGATATCAAATCAAGAGATTCTGTCAATGGCACTTTTGTGAATAGAGACACGACATCAAAGCTGACCAAGATACCTTTGGGTTGGAGAATAATATCCCTAATTTTCTAGACAAAGTGAGTGGAGTCCTTGACGAAAGAGCTAGTTTTTCCCAAGGTTCCTAAAGTTGATGGGTTGTCTAGTAATGGGTAATTTGATGATGCATCTGGGGATTTGCATTATGTTGAGGCACCCCAGATCACGACATAAAGTTATCAGGTAACCTACCTCTCTCAAACAACCTTGACTTTTTCCCACATACGGTTGAAGAAGCGCTAGGTGTTACGTTGGTGCTTCAGGTGCACTCACTATCGGTCTTAGCGGAACTACGGAGTTCCTGAATTTTCCGGTTGTAGTCCTCAGCTATTAACAGGACAGTAACATTGCCCTTATCCGCAGGTAGGATGATAACATTTTTTGCTGAATTCAGGCTTTTTATTGCCATTAGTTCCTTCTTAGAAACGTTACTGGTTTCGAGCCTTCCGTAGAATGTTAGCCGTCTCAATACGGATTCCTTCTGCTTCCACATCAGGAAGTGCTCCTCCGTTGGCAGGTGTTGTGGAGCGAAATTACCGCCTTTTGCCAAGACGGCTATTTCCTTTTCGGTAAGGACTCGATCCGTGACATTGATGACCAGTCTGGATTTGTCAGGCGCTGTGGAATTTCGGATTTGTTTCTTACAGAACTTCTCCTATTGTCGAATCTGGGCTTTTTTACGCCGATTCAGTTCATTATCTTGCGTGAATATGAGATGGTATCAATTTTGTCGCAATCCTTTGCCTGTACGTTGTTGCTGAGCGTGAGAAGTAGTTCCTTATCTACTTCAGCCAGATCCTTCCTTGTTTTGTAGAATCGCTCTCGGAGAAATGCGATGCGATGGGCTTGGGGTCTTAAAAGAGCACCTAATCTGCAAGAATGCTGCGGTACGATGTTAGTGTCTCGGCAACGACAAAGAAACGTTAGATTTGCCAATAAGTGTGCCTTGCGTCGTCTTAATTGTCTCGTCGATGTTACTGTTTAGTGATCACCTCTCAGTTCCAACTTACGACGGCATTAAGCCCGAATGAAAACACTTCATCAATAAACCCAGGCCGCGAAAGCCTCACAAACTTTATCAAAGATGAGCTTATTAGCTTCGACGTATTTAACCTATATCTACCACCAAAACAAAAAGCATGGTGATCGCCAGGGAACCACGCAGATGCAAACTAGAACTAAACAACAAAATAATAGACCAGGTTTTTGAATTCAACTATCTGGGAATAACAATATCACCATACGGTGAACTCAAGAATGGAGTACGGAACCAGGTAAACAAGGCAGCCAGGATAGCAGGGCTGGAACTCTGTAACAAATAGAGATATTTTCTCTATCGTTATTGACGTTTCCTCTCTTTTGATTTCGACAAGAAAGAAGAAGACAGCAAGTGCCATAGCGATAGG